GCAAGAAGCTGACCCTGAATAAATTATCATTCTAGCTTAAACAATTCCTTAATTAACTGACACTGATGAGATTATATACTTCACATTTTATATATTACTAATAAATGTGGACTGATCCAATTAAGTTAGCATGTTTGTCAGATATAAAACTGTAACAATGAACAATGAAACACCCTTTAAACATATCGTGACTTAGAATTAGTTTGGATAGAGTCCATAAAAAGAATAAAATGATAGCTCCATGTGTCAAAACTGACCTACTGTCTTCTTATACAATGAAATATGAAAAACAAACATATCAAAGCACCTGTAATGTCAGGTAAACAGAATAAATGTCACACAGTGCGACCATTTTTGTCTGAATTAGGACTGATATTGTCATTTCCTATCTGTAATGAGCATCAAACGACCTCTTAAATTGTGATGTATATATATCTATCAATAATGAAAATATTGGACTACTCTTGCAAGCCAAATGGTACATTGGCCTTTATCACAATCAAAGGGAGATAACTTTTGCAACTTTTTGCAACTTCCTCTCTTTTGTCACTCTTTAGATATAACCTGCTCTTACAAGGAACACCGAAGAAACCCTTGGGGGATTTATGGTCATGATTAAGGAAATACCAGTGCAAAATATGACCTTTTGTACATACTGGCTTGTGAGGTCTGAATATATCAAATAAAGAATCAAGTCAAAGAACTGCTCTCTAAAATCTCAACATCTGATAAACTACCACCTCCCAAGGAATGCTGTTAATTGAAATACCAACACCTCAGTTTAAAAGGTAGTCATTAATCCTTCAACAATTAAAATAAACTTAAACAATGAAGTCTTGAGAAAATTATATAACTCTGTTATGTTAATTAAAAAGACGATTGTAATCAAAAACCTTAAAATTTTATTTTGGATAGTTATATAGACCAAGTTATACAACCTGTAACTGCACAGGAAAGAATTAAGTGCATATGTTATCAAACAGATCTTCTGAATATAGAATTACATTAACAATATTGTATCTGGTGCTGTCTTGACTGTCTTTCCAGTAAACAAACAGCAGATACAAAAATCTTTTTCCTTGTTTATTCAAAGAAAGAATAATATCTACCCAACTTCAGTGCATTTTGCCTTGTCTATCCTATAGTCAGTTTACAAGCAGATCTCCCATAGACAGCAATTTGGGCTATCAGAACTTCTTTATTTCAGTGATTAATATTCAGTGTGTCCAGCTAAAATCAAGCATCAATCTCTAATTACAGAAACCTTACTGCTGTAAAAGATCTAAAGATTAATAACTATTAAAAGTCATCCTTAATACGTATTTCTAGGCTTTATACAGTGCATCAATTGTTTGTTTGGGAAAGTTTACAGTTGCCAGTATTCTCAAATACATGATACATTTGGTACTCAAAATATACCTACATGTATACAGTGAACATGTATTTGATCAACTTTAGGAACCTATACCACAGAAACAGAATTCAGATTAAATTGTTAAAAATATCTAAGTTACATAAATGGACATTCCCCACAGAACCTGATGTTCCCCTTGATTCTGTCAAGCTAGGGAATGAAAATATATGAGGGATTTTTTTTTTTGAAATCTCCATTTCACACAACTGTTTTCCTTCCAATGTCCAAACAATTTGATCTCCAGATCCAGTTAAACTGATCCAATCTCAGACTGATTTTTTTTGTCAGGATGTGTGGAAGTACAATTCAGAGCTTGATGTGTCATCACTAAATCAATATACCCAAAACTATGGAACTGTCCCACTAGAATCTTTACAAAGCCAAGAACAAATTCTATGTCAATTTGTACTGCTCAAAAAAATATTTCAGATGGTATCTTGTTTCACAGCCCTTGCATGATGGTGTCTTCTAAACTTGACAACTATTTAAAAGGGGGAAAATCTGTGACATGTTCACTAGACAATTTGCACATAACACCTATTTGTAACATGCAATCATGGCAGTGCAATCTGACACATACTTTCTGAGGTACCCTCTGACAGAACAGACTTGGGCCACCCAGGTAATTGTCACAATAGATACACAAGCATCGTAGAAGTCCCCGATAGTCAATGTACTCTGTGTAGCCCTTCCAATCCCTCAGAGAATCAGGATTCTACAGTCAGTTTTAATGACCCCTTTGATTTCTTGGGTTCATTACCTTGAAAGGGCAGTAAAATCAACTGCATGTGATTAGCCTATAAAAAAAATTAAGTGTTCTTTTAGGCCATGCAGTGAACCAGACATCAAATCTAGCAAGCATGAAGAAAGAACAGTGTGAGGATTAAGATTAAAGTACATAGACCTTTTAACATCTTCACAACCAGGACAAAATTTCCATTTCATTCCATACAAGTCTTCCTTAACATATCAGCCTTTCCAAAAGCCTTAAGAATGTTTACTCTTCACTTCCTAGAACAAGGTCTGGTCTGTTTGGTTTCCTGTGAAATTCCAAACATCTGCAGGTGAAGCCTATGTAAATGGCAAGAGAGTAGTAATTATTCTGCTTCATATAGAAAAGCTGTTGATCTCTGTAATCATATTTGTAAAATTCCCTACTTGAGCATTGGGCCAGATGCTCAGAACAATGTGAGAACTAGAACGGGAGCAGGCTCTACAATGCCCAAACAATGCTCTTACTATGGACTATATCAGATACAATGGAGGGGCCTTTCATACAACATACTAAAAACAACTTTTATAGCTATTAATGATAATGCTACAGTTTATTTTCATTCATTTTATGTATGGAAAGATATGTATTACCTTCATATTAGAAACAACTTGTATAATATTTCTGTACAAATATCTTCAACTACGTCAAATATCTTAACAATGGTCTATAATCAAATTTGGAATTGAATGTAACTTACCAAACACTTCTTAGAACACTATATTCCTAAATCCCAGTATTGTCACTTCAAATGTATAATACCAGAAAGTTTAAAATTTATGTTACATAAGAAAACTGAGTTCATTTTTCACCTCAGTACCACAACAACGTGTAACAACCTTCACAGTCTTACATGCACAAATCTTTCAAGACAGTAACTTCACTTTCTCCAAAAAACAGAAGGAAAAGTTGTTAGTTGTAGCAGGTGGGGGCATGCCCTCTGTTTTTCCTTTCCCAGACTATGTGACTTTATCCTCAAAATTATACCTCAGACACTAATAATGAGGAAATTCTAGGCTGGTTCATTCAAGAAAATCAATAAGAGTTTTTTTTTTTTAAAGACTGTCATCATTTTCCCCCTCCTTTAATGCTGTGAATTGCTTGTGATTTTAATTCGCTTCACACTTTGGAAATTGAGCCGGGACACAAGCAGTAAATGAGGGGGATAACAGAAATGTTAGACTTATTGTAATTTATGCAAATTCTGGAAATTTTTGCAGAGATTTTGTTTGCAGACACTGAATGAGATAAATGATTGGACAAAGATTTTGTCAGCAATACAATGTGTTTTTTAATAGTTGATTTGTTGCCTTTGTTTTTCATGCATATTCAATTAAACCTTCACTTTCAGGCAATACTTGAGATGGAAATGGTATAATTGTCATTCTTTTAATATAGTTTAAGTATTTTGATTATCTGTATGCTTATCTGAATGAAAGACTGTAAAATCAAGGTATAATGTTACTTAACTCTGAAAAAATATCTTAGTCTGGAAAGCCTTATTCTTTAAGTGCAAGTGATTACTGCCGAAGGAGAGGTTTGTCTTGCCTGAGATAAGTTAATAATTTATCTATCTGAACTTGGCTCCAACCACAAATAAAAGGTTAAATTTTTACCACATCACCCTAAAAAAAAGATACAACTAACCATTATTATCCCGATAAAACTTCAAGGTATCTACTAACAGTACTTTTTTTATTTTCTCAGATTTCTTTCACAGAAAACTGAGGCAGAAATTTTGATTTCAAGTCTTTCTTTGCCTTTAAAATGAAGATGATTTGATGTATCTGTATAAAAGTTATTCTGAGATACTATCTTGTCCTTTATAAACCTATAAATTGTCTATGGGGAACATGGAATGGAAAGATAAGGACTGTGTTGAAGATCTAGAGAATGCATCTGTAACAAGTCACGTAAATGTTTCATTTCTACCCTGCTGTGATTAAACTAAAACTCAAAGATTCTGGATATATTCAAAAATGAATTGTCTTACAAACAAACATGTATGCTACTAGAACCACCTGCAATATTTACTTAATCTGCAACAAAATAGGAATACCCATGCAGTAAAAGGCAGATAGGGCCAACATGCTTATAATGAATTCATGTCTTAATTATACAGATGTGATTTTCATTCCCTGTGGTTTTAAAACAAATTAGGTTTATAACAAATAATTGTTTGTCCCTGGCACTTTGTTTTATGTGTGTTTACTGTAGCAGTATGATAAATATTTACATACAGGTAAATATAAAATGTAAATTTCATCAAGTGTACTGATTTAAACATAAGGCTATATATACCTACCTTTTGCTATCATTATTTGAATTTATAAATCTTAATGATCCAAGTCTTAATTCTAATACAAGTGAACATACCCATTCATTGAAGAATTTTAGTACTTGTTAAAGTATCTATCTGATGCTTTAGTACCCACCTTCAAACTAATTTAATTATGTACGTAAAATATCTATATTCTTAAGTTAGAAGATTAAAGCATTCTGCCCATGTCCAACTTTGATGACCACTTGCACTCCTTAATCATTTTGGATCCATAATAAAAAATATTAAATTTTTAAGAAATAAACACGTTCAACTTAATGTTCACATCATATAAGCAGTTAATAACAGTAACCTCTTAGTAATCTGTACTGCTATGTTCCCAGCAAATTGTGCTTATAGTGAATTCCTTCTTTAAAAACTTTTTTGTAAAATGATATTGGTAACACCCCCCACCCCCCACCCCCCCAAAAAATCATTTTAGCATGTGAATTGACTGGGTTATTAGAGTACCTCTGTAAACACTTGTAACTTACTTGATTTTCATTCTCTGTCTCTGTTACTGTCTGGGGTTGCCTTGTCATCAGTTTATCACATGATTTTGACTGCTGCAAGACATTGCCATCTGAAGGTTTTCCTTTCCGGACTTTTACTTGACCTAGTCCTTCAGAGGACTGCAGCAGCCTCTTGTCTGTATTGGCTAGCCATTTCCCTGATGGAGTCCTGCCCTGACTGACAAAGCCATTCTCCCATTGCTGACCCCTCCCCTCCTGCAATTGACCCTGATACTGGTCCCTCCTAGACAATCTTGGTGGAATGGGTTGAGAAGCACTTCTTCGAATTTGACGTGGGATTGGAATACCTGAAGGATGAGGAGATTTGACTTTCCCATCCATCCTTCCATTCCAATTAAGTAGTTTTCAGTGTATGCCTAATAAAAATAACATATTTACACACATATAAAAATATCTCTTTAAAAAACATGCAATCCATTTAAAAAATTGGTAAATGTTTTACAGAAATACTATATCTATATATTTGTATTTATTACACTCTGCTTTGCAATACCATACATTGCTCAACATAATTCCACAATTTTTTCAAATGTAAACATGGTTGCCCAAATTAATGTACCATTTCTGAACACTCTGCTTTGCAATACCATGATCAGCATAATTTCTAACGGTTATGGGAGACATTTACTATCAGATCCACTTACATTGTAAGTCTTATCTCAAAAGAAGAATGTGAAAAATAGTTGAAAGTGCATGTTTATTTTTTTCATAACCAATAATACAAAAAAAAAGGAAAAAAAAACAGTGTACTAAATAATCAAACTCTTTTTTGCATTCAGAATTTTCCTTTCTTATGAGGAAAATTCTTAATGCAAAAAAATTAAGTCTTGCATTCTGATGAAAAATAGTTATTTTGCTTATTACATAGAATTTAATAGAAAACATAGCTACTTAATGCTTGTGCCCCTTCAACAATGTCTGATCCCCCCCCCTTTTTTTTTGGCTTGTCAAAGAAATTATGCTTGGTAGTGTCTCCCTCTCAACTGAAAATGTTTGGTTGTGCCTCCCCAACTGCCACAAACTTGAATTCCTTTATGCAAACATGCAATAGAAAGGAAATTAATGCGAACCAATCCTGGATGCACACCTGACCTACAGAATGATTTTCAACCATATCCTTCTAAGTTTGAAGACACACACCTCAGAATTACATACACATGCCAATCTTTTTTAGAACATGTAGAGTGTGTTAATTAAGACTTATGCTAAATCATAAAGTAGAGATCTGCATGGAAAAGGGTTCGAGGTTACTTTTTTAAGCACTACTCTGTAAGGACTAGTGCTTTCTAACGTTTACTAGTCCGACACATTTTTAACTAGTCTCGGACTTAGGGACATGAGCTAATTTCGAACCCTTTCAGAATCATCAGACCAACATTTGGACCCAGAATCCATAACTTGAGATTTTGCGATGCCTTTAAGATTTATTTCGTCTCCCATTGCAAATAACAAACCTTCAATAAATAATTTAAGAGAACAAGCCCTCATTCTCACCACAATCGTTTTTTCCTCCATCACAAGATAATGCATATGATATGGCTCTGCATTAAACTGTTAAACACAATGAAAGTCTACAATAGAATGTCTCACAATCATTGGATTAATCAAAAGATCATCATCGACCATGTTTCTAAGTACACAAGAAAGTACTCGAAATACCGAGTGTTTCTTCCAAGACAAGATCGACCAAGTTCCCGCGTTCATGTCACCACTGTGAATGACATTTCAGGAAAAAAGACAACTCGAACGTTTTTTATTCTATCAAGATGAAAAACAGAAAAGCATGTAATTTTACCATTGAACACAACTTCTGAATTAAAAAACAAGAATACGTTCAGTTATGGAAGCCATACATGTTAAACTGTTAAATACAGGCCCATAGGAAGCATTTCGGAAGGGGGCACAACCATATACCTATACACTATTCACTAACAACCAAAGAAAGCATTTTATTGTTTAAATCTTCAGTCTTGAATGCATATGTGATATATGTATATGTGAATTTTTACATCAAAGTTTTGAAATGCGCTCTAGAGTGCAATGATGTAGTTATCTCAAACATGGAAAAGAACGCAAGATATTATTAATTCCAGTTAAGTGTGCCGTTTTGCATTACGTCACAACCTATGATGACAGCTGCGATCAAGGTATATAATACACGCCTCCTAACCGCAAACTTTATGACTGGTAATTTCTTCTTATCCTTGATTGGTTGCTCATGCCACAGACTATTTCCATGTCAATGTTGATAAAATGAGTTGACCAATCAGACAGCGGCGTCGTGAATTGTTTACGCTGGGCGCATCTATCGAAAAAGATCGTGACGTAATGCGAAATGGCACACTTCACTGGAATTGATAATATGTCAAAATAAAAAGTATAACAAAACAGTGGCGGATTCAGGGGGGTTGGGGGGGTTCGGGAACCACCCCCCCCCCGCCCAATCAAATTTTTTTTTTTTTTACAAGTGTCATTTTAACAATATATTTCATAAAAAATGAGACTCTAGCCAAGCCCATTGTTTTACACAGAGGTGAAATATGCAGCCACGAGAAACCCCTTTCCGCTTGAGCGCACACAATACACAGGTAATCAACAGTACAGAGATCATGATAATCCGTGCAGCTAGTGATGACAAGGTCATACCGGTATACTGACAACCAAAACTGCACATAGTTATTATAGGGTATTGTTTTGGTATTGCTTAAGTAATATTCTTTCAAGAATTTTCTTCTTTCTTCAATAATTGAATGTTACTTTAGTGAACTACGTGAATAAACTGCTTTTAGAAGAAAAAAAATGATGAATACATCAGGGACGTATACTAGTTGTTTACATTGTGACCCGTACCAAAAAGCACATTGAAAGTATTCCTTTTGTAGATGGAAGGTACAATGCAATTTTAAAAAGCAAAAGATCTGCAAATATATTTTTTTAAATTACAGTTGAATGATGTTTAATAAAAAGAATTGGCCACTTTTTTATTGATTGTTTTTCAAGATTTTTTCCCAAACATTTGGCTGATAAGTGGGTAAAATAAAATAGAATTTATGTTACTATTGTAATTAACACCCCCCCCCCCGAATAAGCAGTAATTCCAACAATTTCCCAAAATAGTTCATATTTATTCTTCAATATGAAATATCATTATTTGTTTATATTGAAAATATAATTATATGAACAGTATAGTCAAGGTGTTGAAAAGAGTAATTAGGGTTTCTACACAGAATCCAAATTTTCTAAGTGTTGGGAAATTGCACATCAAATGTATTTTGGTAGTCAGAGCTTCACATGCGACACATTGGACATGCATTTTAAAATGAAGAATCGGATATTATATATCAAATGGCAACATTTCTGATTTTATCGGATTTAACATTAATTATTTTTTAAGAAAAGTCTCATATTTTATGTTTACATGGAAGTTGAAAAATAATCCCAAAAATTTAATTTTTTGTTCAAATTCTTGAAAATTTGGCTAGGTCGATTTTGAAAACCAACAAGAAAAAAATAGCCAAAAACTAACTAATTCAATCTAAAATGCTGGAAAATGCACAATTTGGAGCCATTTTTAAAGAAAATTTCTCGGGGGAGCCTCCCCAACCCCCACCTATGGGAGGGGGACACCCCCTCCCATGCCTTCCCCCTTCGGCCCTACGGGCCTCAACCCCCCCCCCCCCACATGAACTTCTGGATCCGCCACTGCAAAACTTAATTAATTGACTATGTCCTCGGGCAAAATGCGACTCGAGGGCCTAACGGCTTCGGACAGCTTGGTTCTAGGGTCCAACAAAAATCATGTTGCCCTCGAACCCAGTCAATAAATTTATTCAAATTTATATATTGATCAATTCATCTTTGTTTATATGCTGTATGCCAAGTGATTATGTATACATTTAACAGTTTTCATTATAGTGTAATAATACAGTTGCAGATCCAGAATACCAACATGCATCTGACAACAACAAAATTAAATTACCATCTTACTTAATTTTGGGTCACAAAAGGGAGGGACGAGCCCCCTCTCCCTCTTAATTTGCCATTGTAATCTCTCTCTCTCTCTCTCTCTCTCTCCCCTAAAAACACATGGCTTCTACAAGCTTTCCTATCTAATATTAACCTGGTCAAAGGGATGTAAACCTCGTTGCTATCATTAACAGTGAATTGTCAGAAAATAAATTTGAAAATATCTTATTTTATCTTCGTTATATTGATGGTTATTGCGAATTCTTGACATTTGACATTTATATTTATTTCAAAATACATTACAAGGAAAATATTCCACGTGTTTTGGAGAAGTGATATATCACGTAAAATTTACTTTTCCACCAAACCGCTGCGTTCTAACATAGTTTTCCTGAAAATTTGACTCTTGAAAATCGAACAGACCTCCACAAAAAACTCTCGAATAAATCCAAGGATAATCTGACCCCGGTATTATCAAAATGATTTCCATGTAATTATTTTTCCATGAAGTTTCTTCTCAATAAATCTTTGCTCCTATGCAAGAATGTCTTTGTCTTTATTTATGAATTCATTTCATATTGTTAGAAAGATACGAATTGGAATTAAATTCAAATTCTACCAAAATAACAGCTAAATATGATTTATTATAAATAGCAGGGTATATTATATCAGTCAATTATTATTTCTTAAGGCATTTTAAGCTATCACATATGTAGTTGGAACATTCTGAAAATTTTAGAATGGAATTTGATAAATGTTATTCCAGAGCTGCTTTTTACAGACGGAAAAGTTGTTGCCATGAAATAACCTCGCAGGTATGGACCTAAATCATCTTGTAATGGAGGGCAATTGTGCAGAAAATTGCACCTTCAAAGTCAAGCAGTAGCTTAGTAGACGAAATATATATGCTTCGTTCACCAAAAGTTTGGAATAGCATGGCCAATGTTTACTTATCGTGGTAGAATGTTCACATGGAAAATCACTTAGGACGGTTAGCAGGAACGCTAGAAAACACTCGTGCTTTTTTCTAGTGGCCTCTTCCGGGATTTCGCGATCCAAATAAACAAACTATTCTTAATTAACTTTTCGGGACAAGACACTAAATCAAATCTAGAAATCTGTTGCTATCACTCATAAGAATGTAATTTACCTATATTTCACGTACGCTACTGTGGGAAATATGTTTCAAGTTTTTTCCCTCTTTTTTCTCTATTATGGTTTTTTTCCCCGACAAAAAGGGTTTAATTCAAACCATATATCTATGCAGGTTTTTAAAGAAAATCATTTCAAGCTTAAATGGTGCCAAGTTTAAGGTGTTTCGTTTCCAGCTAAAATGATATGTCCGTTTTGACAGACAGGGAATAAAAATGCAAATGACATCTTTTGGTAAATTACATGTATATACTTTTTAAAGAAATCGCTTACAAAATTGCTGCAGCCTCCTTATTCACGAGTTATCAATATAAAAAGTTTCAAAAAATCCCCAGTCATGATCGTACATTTGTACGAGATTTTTGAAAATTCAAATCATATGAAATAAAGTTCTTATTCTATGAAATTATGCTTATCATAAAATGTAAGTACATTTATAGTTAAAAGTCATGAATCATTCTAGGGGAATAAATCACGAGATACAAAACTAAAGAATTAAATATTAAATGAAATTGCACTGTAATTAAAATTCAAATTTAATTTCTAGGGAATCAAATAATAAAATTGCATCATACAGTTTTAATAATTTTAATTCATGATTTAACAGATAACACTCCCTCCCCATAAAAAAAAATAATTAATAATTTTACTTACCCTCTTCAAAACAAATGTTTACACATCCTTTATCGAAAAAATGTAATTTTTCTATTTTTCTAAAGAAAAGAAGCAAAATGAAGGAAGACTTGGGGAACCGCGGGAAAGTTGATCAGGCCTATCTCGACCTATACACCACCTCGGTAAGTCCCTCAATGACCCGCCGAGTTTATCGTGCAAAAGTAAACGTTACGTTTCATTGCAAACTCTCGTATCTCATCTTACGGCATCTCTACAGGTAACGGGAGGGGTAGGAGAAATGAAATTTTTTATCATGGATAGGAAGCTCTGTTAGATAAGTAATGAATTTACCTTGCCTCGTGCGGCTTAATTTTGATTTGGAATCAGCTGATACGATGACTGTCTCTTTATTGTTGCAGATACGACTTCCGCGCGACGCTAGCTTCTTATTTAACGAATACACCTAGTATTAATTTTGGTCCTTTTCATCGATACACAATATCCAATTGTTCAAACAGTCCCCCTTTAATGACGTTTTACGTTATCATAAGCACTGGGTGGCCTTCTGGGTACCCCATGCAGTTCAGTAGCCAAGGAGACTTCAAGGACCCACTTGTGAACAAAAAGAAATTAACATTATCCGTTCTGTTCAAGACTAGATCGTAAATTTCACTTCCCAATAACTGTGCGAAGAAGCTTCAAGTCACTCATTATATCATTGAAGAAAGTAACGATTAAACAACACATAAAATATTTATACGAATTGTTGAACAAACAGTCGGAAGGATCAGTGTGTTATAATTTCACATTTTCCCTTATCCAAGGTAATCTCACCGCAATTCCACAATGCCATCAACTCTTAAGATAATCATTGGTTGCAAATCCAGAAAACTCAAGTAAGTCGGTTTCCTCTAGACAAAGCAGTGATATATAAAAACCTTTTAACACTTAGAAGATTCGACTTCTAAGCCCTGGACTCGATCAAAATGTCATCTGTAACAGATCACTAAGCTAAAGTCTGGGTTTATATCTAAAAAATATATTTGTCTGAACATTAAGGCACAAACGTATATACGGCAAAGTAAGATCCCCTGAGTGTCACTTCATTCTGTGGAAAGCAAGTTGGCAAAGACTTCTTGCAACAAGAATAAGAAGAGCTCTCGCAAAACGTGGTGGCAACTACTGACGGCAACAAGGGTTGTCCACATATGTTCTGCAGGTAATGACGTCTCAAGTATGAAGACAAACGGCTGTCTGTTCAATTTAGCGATGAAAAAGAGATGGTTTATAATTATTTTACTTCCGCACGAATGATAACTTATATGTAACGTAGTAACTTTGTGTGCCTCGATGCTTCCAGACTGGGGGACACTAGGTTTTTTGTTATATGCTGACAATGACTGAAATCTCTAATCAAATATTCTTGTTTCAAAGAGGTTTGTAATCTTTGGCTAATTTCTAAGATGTGTGAATAAACTAATAAATTATTATATCGAGATATTCGCGTTCAGTTCCTTGAATTTAATCAATAGGGGCGTTCAAAGCGATTAACGTTAGCAAAAATAAATGTAAAATGTCATAAATACAATGTACTAGTATACCAGGCGATTTTGATTTTGTAGGCCTTAAAAAGAATTCTTGTTCCCTGTATCACTGTTATTAACTTATTTTCTTCCCCATGTGTTTAAGAACTAAAATTTGGTATCTTTCTTTAAAGCTTGATAAATAGAAATAAGCTAAAAAGTATAGGAAGCGCATCCTTGAGTCCAATATAATAGGAATGAATCCTAATTTCTGACCCTTTGAACTGATGCATATCTAAAGTAATACGAGTTCATTCATCTATTGTATGCTAATGTTTCATCGTTATCTCTCGCATAATTTGATCATGTGTCATATAATTTCTTTAAGATTTTTATCCTTCACAAAATATGAAAAATGTCGCAACTCTCTTGGCATTGAGAATCACGTGTGCCCCGAACCGGGATCAACGATTATTTGAAATTAATATCTAAATGGCAACGGAATCTCGCACGACGAGTTAATGAGATGATCGGGATAACATTCTGTCCTCTATAGTTTTTTATACCGTAGTAAGCTGCAGGATGAGACCAAAGCACGACATCTTAATCATAAAAATCATTAATTTTTAGTGGAGGTCAATATATTTTTCTGCATATGATGTCGTCATTTGAAGTGATTGATGATTGAATTTAATGAAGTTTTCAAAGAAAGATGCACTCCCTCTGTGTGTAATAGGAAGGATTTTTTTTTTGGGGGGGGGGATACATGATTTTTTTTTTATTATCAAGATCTTGGTATTGCAAGAATAGATAGAGAAGATATAAAATAGGTAGGTTCTGTTTTTTGAAAAAGAAATAGATGTACATGTATTTTTGTATGATAGAACTTTCTTGGCCACCATATACAGTCATTTTAATTAATTAACTGCATGGATAAAATTCATATGGAAAATAAGTTGAACGAATTCCTAGTCGGTGTTGACCGTTTTGCCCGTTTCACATATACATATTGTTAGAGTGAACAAGACAGAATGACACGGGAATAAATGACGGGTATTAATCATGTTAACGAGAATAAGATAGTGGTCAGTTCACGGACTTTGGTCAGTGTGCTACACTGTAAGTAACAAGTTCCGGTCATAAATAGACCCAACAATTTGTACGATAAGGAATAGTAATTTCTTAAAGTATCATTAATCTTTGGTTGGGGTGTAACATGGCATTGTATTTGAACATTATTGAACATTGATTTGAATTTCAGAGATGTGCGTAAAAATGACACAGATTTTAAAACGCACAAACTGTTTTCTTCTGAAAGGAATGTTTAATTTTTTCAAAGTCAACAAGAATACATGAAAATGCTTATCAAACAAAATTATGCATCTTTATATATGTGTACACAGTTTCTCTAGGGAAAAAAGTTCTCATTGAACATAATATTCTCATTGTGGAGATGAAGAATTAATGAAGATCACGAGGACGAAACAATGGCAATAAGGAAAAGAAGAAAATCAAACGAATTCCATTAAAAAAAATATTGAATAAAAATTCCAGCTAGTATTCTACTTATGCAAAGGAGGATGATAAAAACAGAATTGTGTAATAATGTTTTCTAAATCCCCTCCCTGTCCCAACTTCACGTATTTCAAATAAGGACCTAATGTATGATATTTTTTTTTAAACTTATTCAACAAAGACGAAGACATTTGTGTTTATTAGAAAAAAAAATCCAATCATTGCCAAGAAAATAAGTATATCATTCAAAGTGCTGAAAACACAGTCTTTCGATTTTTGAGCTTTTTGCCTTTGAGTATGAGTTCTTAGCTAGGTCTTTTTCGTCAATTTGACTTCAGAAGGCCCATTAGGTTTAATATGTCTTACCTTATTGAAGTCTTATTGAAGTCCCCTCACAAAATGACAAATATTTGTGAAAACTGTTCGTTTTTATCCATTCAAACCTGCCATGTTTAGCTGTATTTTGACAACCCTATCAAGTGGTATGATCCTTAACTGGCATGCATATCTATTTTGAACTGGACACACGTTGAAATGGAACAAATTTATCATCATGACACCTTTTGTCCGAACATCGACATACTCCCACCCGCAACATTATAACAATAGCGGTGTCCTTCGTTCTCATCTAGTTATTCATGATAATTGTAACAGTCTCCAAGGACTGCCCAAAATATTTAAGGCTCGCAACTTCGAAACATCCCAGATCGTAAAACTAATTTCCTTTCCTAGTAACCGAAATAATATGTACTGCTCAGACCATGCTACCTTAATCATTGTAAATCCTATCAAAGAAAAAAAACCTAGGTAAACTCATAAATTAAATGTTAATCACACAATTAATTCAATCAAAGTTAGTTAAATAACTCTTAATTTCATGATTGCAATATTTATGATAGTTCCCCTGTCGCATACACAAGATTGGTAGTCATCTAATCGTGTAACCGTATAGATCTAACCGTTTGTATTTTTGTGACGTCATGACAATTGTTTTCCCATTTTCGATAAAATATTCTTGTAAAGGGTCCTTGGAACGTTTTTGTTGATAAAACCTTCTTTTTTTGCATTTACATTCGAATTAAAATAACTATTTACGTTCACTTTAATCAACAAAACTTTTATCTTTGAGATTGTAATTTCTGTACAATATTGCTATACCATATGTACCGGTATAAAAAAGAGAGATGTAACTTGAAGACCAATAATTGTATGTTTTATGGCCGTGCTCAGAAGCATTTCAGTGGATTGTTGTTTACAGAGACATTAGAAAATGAAGTAACACCTTGGAACCTACGCTGGAAATGAAATCTGACAGATTTTCGGCAGACAGCCGAAGATTTAGAAATAAAACTCTTATATAGTTGAATTATTAATGTAACGTTAATGTTGAAAGTTCCACGTTATTGCAGAGATATAGAATAAACCATGAACTCAGGGCTAATTTATTTCTTCCAATTACCGGCAGATACTGAGAGAGAGAGAGAGAGAGAGAGAGATAACGTTATGACGCAATTTCGCGTACGCTTATTTGAAACTAAGTCTTTCACTTCTTTCACCCATTCTTTCAGTGCAACTTCTGACTTTTACTTTTTTTTTTACATGTTATTATTACGACAAAGGATGTGTATTACAGTATATAGGTACATGTACCTGTTGTAAGAAACAAGCCACTGTGTAAAAAAAACTTCGAGGTAACAGAGATAAATGAGTTATATCATACCGGTGTTTTCCAACCACAAAACGGACAATGGTTCTGTCTGAAGGACGTGACCCGGCCTATATGTCCTAGAATTGTTTTGGGTTCATTTCAATTGTTTTGGTGAAACTGGGATGGTTTACATTATAAATATATACTATGATCATAAAACAAATGGACGACTGCCAAACACAGATTATGATGACAGACAAAGTAGAGCAGTTGATATTTTTGTTGTACAGGTGTCTATGTAGAGGCAAAACATTCAGATTAGCCCGGTACAGGTTCCCACAGATAATCGGAGTAACCAAACGGTCCCAAATGTTCAAATACAGAGTACAGTTCAAATTTTGGATTAACCGAAGACAATGTTTAAATTTTACCATTTTATACATGACTCACGATCTGATCAGCACATACAATTTTTTTTTTTTATATTTTTAAAAAAATTTTTTTTGGCCAGGCTGCCCCAAAAACTGTGAATCAAGGAGGCTTTAGCATTTCGTAGGTTTAATGCAAAAAAGAGATGAAAAACTGAAGAAACTGAGATAAATAATTACAGAGAAGCAACTGTTTCGTCAATTGTTCCAGCCATCAATTCAAGTACCAGCCAGCTTCGACAGCTGTGCGAAACGTGCATGATCCCGAAAATACAAATACTGTGGGGAAGAAGATTCCTGTGGATTATCAAATTGGGAGAAGACGGAATCTTATTACTGATTTAATCGTTCATAATGAGCAATAATAATCCGAGGCAACTCTCTCTCTCTCATTCTCTCTCTCTCTCTCTCTCTCTCTCTCTCTCTCTGCGCTTTTCATGGTACTGTTTAAGAAAAGTAAGAATAAACAGACCCAAAGAAGACAGACTGGTATCTAAATGGCTTAGTGATGAGGAATTAATTCTCTCAACTCTTTAGTATATACAGCTGTCTAAACAAATGGAAGATGCACGCCTGACGCAATACACGGGATAGACAATCCAGGCAAACAAATATTTTAAATGAGAAAATCAAAGGAATTCTGTGTATCCAAATATTATTCTGAACCAAAGGGGGCTCCAGATTAAGATACAAATGTACGGAAGTAAATGTTCAGCATTTTGTCATTTTATGTTAAACCAGCCTTCAATTCAACAGACGAAAACACGTACATGTTGTTTAATGGTTGTCGAATCTGAATTTTTATTTTATTTCTTTGGATTTTTTTAAGAAGTAAGAAATGATGGTTTAGAGAGTATTGTTTGAGATTGAGATCACTTGAGCAATTTGGTTAGAGAAAAACAAAAATCAGTTCAGTATTAAAAAGTATAAACATATAGGTGGCCCATCCTACCCCGGAAGGGGCAGGGTGTGTGGGTGTTCAAGATCTGAACAAACTTGAATCCACACTACCTTAGGATGCTTTCATATTAATATGAACAATCATGGCATATTTTGCTGTTCTTGAGGAAAAGATTTTTCCTACACATTTCTTAGTAAAACTTTGATCGTCCATTGTGTCCCCCCCCCCCCTTCATGATTTGAAGAAACTTTAATCTACACTATCCGAGGATCCTTCTATATAGGTATGATTAATCATGGCTTTGCTGTTTTTGAGAAGATTTTAAAAGATTTTCCCTATGTAAAACTTTGATTACCCATTGTGGAGTCATTAAACCCCGGGGATAATATTTGAACATTACTTATTCTTAACTCCTTGAAAAAGGACGTGATGCTTCATTTGAACACACTTAAATCCGCCTCACCCAAGATGCTTTGTGGCAAATTTGGTAACTGGCCAAGTGGTTCTTGTGAAGAAGTAGAAAATGTGAAAAGTTTACAGACGACAAATGACAGACGGGCACCGGACACTTTTCGATCAGAAAAGCTCAGATGAGCCTTCGGCTCAGGTGAGCTAAATGTATGCTACACGATTAAAAAATCTTTTTTCAGTAACTTTTTGGAATGTTGGTAAAATTAATATATACAGTAACCACCTTTTTCGTGCACCGAAAATTACATTTTTAAAATGAATATGCACTCCTATATCTATATCCTTAATACATGTAAAAAGTTAATATCTGCAACAATGGTATTGGTATATACAGTTGTAGTTTGATTATTATCAAAATCAGATCCATACGTATACATGTACTCTATCTGTAAGTTATCAATTCCTTTGTTTAATAAAAATATGATATCATCTATTAACAAGCTTCTTTAAAATCAACATTTTTATTCAGTCAAATATGTGTATGAAAAAATGCATAGGAAGATTTTTTCCCCTCCGATATGCTCGTGTTGACGAGAAATCTGTTTAAATTTAGAATCGCATATGCGTACATTTTTATCTTTCAGCTGATTAGGAAATAAGAAAGTTGTATAAAAGTAATAGAAAACTGTTCATACAAGGTTGTAGTAATCTATATTGTTTATCTTTTCAATGTAGATATGTTTCATGATCAGAGATAAATGGGGCGTAATTTTAAAATTATATTTCCCCATATCTTTAAGTAACGCTTTTTTTTTGTTCGAAAGCATCTTGAGAAAAAATGGTTTTAACTGAACATTTTCCAACACATGTTCTTCATTCATAAGTACATCATGTATACTTTAACAAATCAGTATAAAGTATAAATTTAATTCTATAAATGGAAGAACAAAATCGTATGTAAAAACAAAGGACATATCACGTTACATCTTATATTTCACTCTCACAATATGAGCATCTGTTCTGTTAAAATATCTATGTTTGGAGACACCTCCAACCCAAAGGCATTCCGAAGAATCCACAGCGAGTGTGGTGGGGGATAACTTGGTATTGTTATAAATGAACACATCGATAAAGCGCAAGAATTTCCCGTCCTTAGACAGCATATGAATGCATTGGTTAGTCACATCAGACATGAGGATACACCCCTCTCCGTCAAAAGTTATGTCAGTCAAGTTACAAACTTGTCCTTCATTTTGTTCAAGACCGTTGTAAGTAAACCTCGTGGTTCCCTCCGAGTTCAGGACAACCAGCACTCCTTCTGCATCATCCACGTGATCAATGACGCCAATGTCACCGTTTATATTTTCTCCAACTCGGAAGGGATACACAAAAATATCATGTCCTTCTGTGTCTTTTTCAATAATCTGGCGCGTAATACCGAAATTTGTTATTCGAGCAACTCGGCGCTTTCCAGAAGGATTCATTTCGTTTGGGTACGATTCGGCAAGGCAAAGCAAAATGTCTCTGTTCTTGGTAACTGCGATACCTAGAGCAACAAATGGTCGAGTATCATAAATCTTTTCAACTGAACCGTCTGTCTTTAGCATAAGGACTTCATTACTTCCATAGATGACCATGTACACGTCACCCTCTGGTGTGGCTGCCATGTTCAAAACACCAGATTTTCCAAATCCTCCACCAGGAACGAGATGTTCACATTCGTCAACTTCCAGAAGTTGTATTCCCCTGTGTTTATAATGCCCATGCCATGCAGCAAAAGGCGAAACAGGACAAATGGACGACACTTCCGGGAATCCTGTTGATGACCTTGCTATTACTTCTGGTTCACATTCGACAACTTCTTCAAGGTCACCAAAGATATCGGAAATCGAGCAATTTCCATGCGTATTTAACATAAGTCTATTAAAACTTGGAATTAACACTTCCGGTGTACTTTCAATATCATTTTCCAACATACGAGCGTACTTTATATCTCCCACATCGTTTTCGCCCCCAACACGTTTCTCGCCCACAGACAAGGTTGACCTTAAACGTGATATGTGAAAATCTATTGACTTTCCTAGCGCGTCAATAACCTCGACATTGGCCTTGCCAGCATCAGCTAGGCCAGACAATGTTGTTTGATAGTGCTTATCTAATTCTTTCCGAAGTTCCTCATACCTGTGTTTGACCGTTTCTTTTTTACCTTGAATGTCATTCAAGACACTTTCTCTCGCCGTCGTCAGTCGCATTTTCTTATCGGTAAGATAGGGTAAGATACTGTTCTCGATTTCCTCTCGACCTCTCTCTGCCTCTTGACGTTTGAATGACGTAAGGATGTCATCAATCTCTACGAAGCGGTGTCCCTGATGATAGTCTAAAATACAAACCCGGCAAACAAGACAATCACATCCACGTGTAACACAGTAAAGTATACACAATTCCCCAGAATGTTCCTCGCAAAGCTCATCGATGTCATCATTTTCCGGATTAGAGTCATCGCGGGGCTGGTACGGCACGAGCGCTGTCAACTTTTCGGAGTCTGCGATGGTTATTATGTCATGGTCACGAGACTGTCTGCTCTTTAAATGAATTCTGCTGCAGTTTTCACACATGAACTCGTCACACGTCAGACATTTCCTACTGATTTCGTTCTGACCGTCACACAAGTCACACGGTGCCGTGTTTATGCCTTCAGCCATTTTTATGCGACTTAAACAGTCACAGTTATATTTGCCCGTCACAAAACACTTACATATTCTTCCAAAAACGTTGAAAATTAGGTGTGTTATACCTGATGCAGAATATTTTAAAATCAAAAAGAACACAGATTACGTGTGCAAGTTTGCACAGGTATTTAAACCACCTTGCTCTTTGTTTGGTTGGTTACAACGAATGTCGTTCAGATCGATCAATACAGAGGTTTATTTGTTTAATTCGCTACCTTTAAATTTTTTCTTTCAATGATACATATAGACTGACCCGTCAAATTACTTTGAGGTCAGACTGCTTTCTATTTTATACTTAGGATTTTGCATGCACTTCACAAGTACTTCAGTTTAATATTGTAGTGCCCTTCATTGATTATATATGTATTCCATACAAATTGCAAAAAAAAAATATTGATTTCTTCATTATCACGTATACTAATATCATTATCATATACATTATTTGTAAAAGCACACCCTTTAGTGTTAAAAATGTTGGATTTTCTGTTCTAAAACTAGATGACATTATTCTTATAAGACGCATTTTTTGTTACAACAAAATTAAACAACATATTCTTATAAGTGCAAACCAGAACATGCAATGCTATGCAATCTAGATCTAAGATCGTATTATGGTACAAGAAACATCTATTTTTTTTTTATTTATTCATGATCGGACATTAAGTAAAATAAAGGATGTACATCGAAATTTTATCAGGATGTATATCGAATATATATGATCGACCGCTACCAGGATGAAAATTTTATTACTCTGGTCGACCTCTCCCAGGACGTGAATCGAATTTTCCTTGTCGGTCTTTACCTGGATGAGAATAGAACTTGCCTTTTCGACCTTTACCAGGATGAGAACCGAGATTATCCCATTGACCTTTACCAGGATGAGAACCGAATTTCTCCCGTCGACCTTTTCCAGGATGAGAATCGAATTTATCTTGTCGAGCTTTACCAGGATGTGAATCAAATTTTCCTTGTCGACCCTTACCAGGTCGAGAGTCGAACCTATTTTTTCGATCTTTACCTTTCTTTCCAGGAAGTAAATAAAATTTTTCTCTCCGAGCTTTGACAGTTTTGTCTCGACCTCTTCCAGAATGAGAATCAAATTTACTTTTTCGACCTTTATCAGGATGTGAATCTAGTTTATTTCTTCTACCTTTACCAGGATGAGAATGGAATTTACTTTCTTGACCTTTACCAGGATGTGAACCTAGTTTATTTTCTCGACCTTTACCAGGATGAAAATCGAATTTACTTTCTCGACCTTTACCAGGATGAGAATCAAGTTCATATCTTCGACCTTTACCAGGGTGAGAATTGAATTTACTTTCTCGACCTTTACCAGGATGTGAATCTTGTTTATTTCCCCGACCTTTACCAGGATGAGAATCAAATTTATTTCGTCTACTTTTACCAGGATGTGAATCTAGTACATATTTTCGACCTTTACCAGGCTGAAAATCAAATTTATTTAGTCTATCTTTACCAGGATGAGATCTGAATTTGTCTTGTCGATCTCTTCCAGGATGTGAATCGAATTTCACGTCCCTCCTTTTACCAGGACGTGAATCTAATTTATCTCGCGGCCCTTTACCAGGATGAGTTTCTAATTTATCTTCTCGACCTTTTCCAGGGTGAGAATCGAGTTTCTTTTTACCGAGACGAGAATCGAATTTATCTTTCACTGTATCCTTTTGACTTTCGTTTGGATGAAAATCCGCTTTTTCCTTTTGACTTCTGGGATCAAATTTGGTTAGTAGGTCACCGATTGCCCATGAGGTAAGAAAATCGCCATTTTCTCCAAAAAAGTTTTGGTCTTGGTCCCTTTCGTTAAGCTTTTTCGAAGCATTTCTTTCCCCGGGATCCTTTCCATTTTTTTCTGAAGTATGAGCTTAGAGTTAATTTTCTACACTTATGATTTTATTAATATTCAATCTGAGATTGAAATATTTTGATAAAATTAAGATATTGAGAGATATTTAGATAATTAATATTGATATAATGTTATCATTTTCAGATTGAAAATCAATAAACGACATTTACGGTATATATAAATTGTAAAATTCATTTGCTTTTATAAACTAACATGTCAATTCAGTAATCATAATACCTTGACAAGAAACAAGGATAAGGAAATAAACCAGCAAGACAATTCTCCACATTTCCTCACGTTGTTATGAAGAAAAATAGAGTTACCTCTCTTTACCTGCAAATACATTAGATTTTTATCGATCAAGTTTACCATATTCTTCATTTGATTTTATTGACTGATGACCTTTGAATAAATACCTTTGAAAAAAAAAGAATATTGATAATCTTTAAATGATATATATTTTTTAAATATATTAAAAATAAAATGTTATAGGTTTGATATCATTTTTATTTATCAAAGGACATATACACTGTACTTCCTATTTTCGTATGTCAGTTTCCATGAATTATCTATCTTTTACTTGGTATACTCCCTGTCATTTGCTATTGTTCAAAATAATTAATTTTGAAAATAGAAAGTCTATTGAAATAAAGATGTGTATTTTCAAAGGATTATAAAACAAGTGATGTTTCTGAGACACTGGGTATTCCACTGCCTACTTTAGTTTCAAGAGGGACAAAATATTGAAAAAGGTAAAGGAATTTAGCAGAGAGAAAGAGTTGGTAGTCATAGCCGGAAAATCACTCACTTTTTCTTCACTTTGTCTTGAGCATGCAGATACCCAAGTCGTCTTTGATCTGTTTATGTTAGCTCAATAGGCATTCCAACTCGTTCATTTCACGGAGCTTCTTTTTCAATATTTTGTACCACACAATATAAAGTTATCAGTGAAATACTCAGTGTTTCAGAAATATCACCGGGTTTTACAATCGCTTGATAATGCATATCTTAAATAGGCTTTCTGTTCTTAATTTGAACAATACCCGACAATTAATGGGAAGAAAATAAAATTTTAAGGAGGTTCTCCATAAAAACCGCATGTATTATAAGAAAAAAGGGGGCAATGTCATTAGACATAAAAGTAACTTTGAATTATATTGTTTGTTATTAATACATTATCAGGGGCGGATCCAGAAATTTTTTTTCTGGGCGGGGGGGGGGGGTGTTCTACATCAACTGTAAGAAATATTATACTCGGGAAATCTTTTGGGGGGAAAAAATCCCGACCCCCCCCCTCCCCCGATCCGCCCTTGAAAATTTTAGATATATTGCAGAAAATTCTCAATGATTTCTGGTAACACTATATGTTATAATTTTTCAAACATGGATGTTTAACACAACATTTCTGTTTTACAAACAAAAGGTTGCACAATTTTTTTAAGAAGACAAAGTTTAGAAAAGAAATTAAAAGGAAAAAAATCTTACCTGCTCAAAAAATTAGGCATTCAAGACTTTTGTTACTTAGCAATAGTTAATAATGTCGATATTTATAAGAAAACTGCGGGGTGTCATGTCATGGCCCAGTCGTATCACATATAAATTCATGCTAATTATATGTATTTCATGTATATTTAATGCAGATATGGATAAAAACAATGCACGATTAGATTGTTTATTACAGACCCTAGGAGGCGGATGGTACGTCTTCAGGTATGTTTAATTTAATTTAAACAATAATTTATTCACAGAAATGAATTGGATTGGGCAACAGACTCATCCAGTTTTAGCCCTCTCCCTACATCAAGGTCAAGGTAAATACATAAATTTTTAACATTAAATAAACAAAGGAAAAAATAAAAAATGTACTAAAAAGAAGAGAGAGAAGGAAAAAAGAGAAAATATAAGCAAAATTACAGAGAAAAGTAAGTAAATAAGCAAAATTACAAAGAAGTACGGTTTGGAAATGTTCAAAAATGTTAACATTTTATGCATTGATTGAATAAGTACGTCTCTTGGAGTTGTATATTTTGGACATATAAAAATGTAATGGTAAGCATCTTCAACAGAAACAGTACAATGTTCACACATTGGAATTTCTGAAAAACATCGCTGGTATAATTCTGCTTGCCATCTACTTGCATTATTCTTTAATTGACAATGTATTTTATTTTCTTATTCCAAAATGAAAACGTTCATTATGTCATGTTATAAATTTTGAATTTACCGGGTGGCAATAAATACTTGTCATGTTGTGAACTTTGTATTTACTGCCACCCAGTAAATTCAAAATTTACAACATGACAATTACTTTTTCTATAAACGTAGGATTTAAGAAAAAAAACTCTTGAACGATGATATTCTTTATTGTCCCAGTCAACTTCATTAAGTTCATGAAGACTGGCATTTTCATAATTTCGTATTTCCCTTTTATAGGCAAACAGTTTGTGAACAGTGAATTTTAGTTCTACGCTAGTCACACAGTGAGAGCTACAGAAGGGTGCCGCCGCTGTGTCGTGATTTGCTATCAAGCTGGTATAATTGTTGATCAAAATTAGATTAATACATGTCCCAGGTTCAGAGTAAAGTTAGTAGAATTGTTTATAATATTTATTAGGTTAAGTCTTTGTAACATAAAATTTGATTTGTTTACTTTGGTTAGACAACATATTAACATTGAAATCGCCTAATATTATGATTGGAATGATTAAGTTTAGAGCTTACTGCAAGTTGAATAGAAAATGATCCCGATATTCTGCCTTAGAGTTGGGTGGCCTATAAATGATTTACTGTATGTTGTTTAACGTCCCATTCGACCTATGAATAACGCTAGCCAGTTTATTATTATTGTTTACAATAACTTCAGACCAAAGGATCTCCATATGTTTGGAGTCAAGATCCTTCCTTGCTGATAAATGTAACTTTTTTTTTAGATATATATTATAAACGATTTCTGTTTTTATGAAGAGGTATATGATATCCGTTATGATATCATATACATTTGCGGAACTGTGTAAATGGCACTAAATTTTTTGAACAACCAAGATTAATTTGAGTGTCCTTATTGTAGGATAACTTAACTCATGCAGGCCATGACTAACATTAGCACAAATGTACAGTACTTGTAACTTATTGACATACATGTACCCTAATGAACTTTTTTTAAAAAAAAAAGTAAAATAAATAAAATAAAATAATTTAAACTGAATTTACAGGGGAAAAGTTAAAAGAATATCATAACAATACGTTAACCACTGCCATGTTCTAATTTTTGTTAACCTGTTAAAGTCTAATCACAAAAAAGGAACAAATAACAAATCTGATAATATGAAGAAGAATGCAATTGAAAATTATCAAAACAATATTGAGTCACAACTTATTGATACAATTAAAACAATTCAAAACTATATTGGAAACTTATAATGGATATTTTTAAAACCAAATCAACTACAGACATTCCCCTTTACAATACAGTCCAAAAATGGTGACGTTTCTCTATCCTTTTCTGATAAAGATAAGATAAATGTTCTTAAGGATTATTTCGCTTCAATGAAAAAGGTGAAGATAACGAATAGTAATCGATCTAACAAAAAAAAAATCTATAATCAATACAAATCCGTGAACAGGGCATAAAACACGGACCCCTAAAATTCCAGAAGTGAGATCAGGTCCCTATGGGAAGTAAGCATCTCAAGTTGACCCGCCGTAAGCCATATGTATTGATCAGGTAGACAGAACATTCCCTAGTCAAATTCAATTTAAAAACAACGGCCCGACAATTTGTATGAAACACGTCGGCCAAAATATGACCCAGTGATAGGTTATACATGTATTTGCTTACAAGGTATTTATAAGATAGATTTTATGAAATGCTGCCTTTAAAGGAGGTTATTGAAATCCCTATAACATCAATTTATCTGTCAGTAGCCTGCTTCGGTTTAAAAATTGATCGTACTCGGAGCGTACTCTTGATTATAGAATAAGTTGGGAGATTTAAACACATTTGCAAATGATAGCGGGATATTACTACATAAATAAGGAAAGTTGACAATGGAAAAGCTGAATTCATCTCGTTTGTCATACAATTTAGTTGTTAGATGCCCGTTATAATCTACATTCAGTAAAACATCCAAACAGGAAACAGATGTGGCAGACTCTTTGGTGTCTTTTATTGGTGTCTTTTATCGATATATCTAAATGTCGAGGTGAAGACCAAGGCAAGTGTTTTCTTCTTCTCATGTAGATGTTTTTGAATAAAGTCTGCTTCATAGGAATATAAAAACAGGTCGGCTAATAAAGAATCACATTTAGTACCCATCAGAATTCCAACAGCTTGTGGAAGATCTGTTCTCCGAAGTCTACATAAATGGTGTTGATGAGGAACCCCAGCACCCTTTTAATATTAAATTCAGAGTACTTGTGTGTAGAGTCAGAGTGATTTTTATCAAAGTTATTTTGTTAATGACCAGTCACAAGATACGAAATTTTTAAATTTTTATTGAAGAAGCAGTTGTGCATGATATTAAAGCGCCCATTTTTTATCGTGAGGAATGGCTGAATAAAGTGTAAAAAGAAAAATTGTACGTTTTGATGTTGTTTTACGCCTGAAGTTTCACCTTTACAGCAGTTAATATTTTTGTAAGGAGCAAAGATAGGGTCTTGGTAGAGTATTTGCTGGACCCGGCAATGCATCTCTGCTTGTAAGGATTTTATGAAGTTTAGGAATCCAGTATAGAGAGGGTAGATCGAACTCACCTTGGCTTGTTACGTCAATTCTTGATTGACCTCAAAGTATTCCTATGCGTGACAGTGTGTTTGATAATAAACATATTGTGAATAAGAAATCATTGATATTCTACATGTATCTATACTTCCTGTAAATAATGCCACTAGAGCAGACTACATGTATATCAGTCATGAAATGTTCAAAAGCTACCAAATTTTCTACTGTGGAGTCATTAGGTGTACTGTTTAATCGTTCATTGAAAGATAATATATTTCCTAACAAGTGGAGATTAGCCAACGTTACTTCACTCTTTCAAAAAGATGATGTTGTCGTTTTTGAATTACTATGGACCCGTTTCAATTACTGTATACACATGTAATATATTTAATTGTTGAAATTTCAGGTAGGGAGAGGGCGAGATTTTAAGAACTTGTTCCCATCCCATAGTATACGGGTTTATTTATTAAAATAAAGTGTGTTCAATACAAAAGAAAATCCTTCTGTGTACTATTGATATATTTTTTTAAAATTTTGATTGAATCATGGTTGTTCACATATGGCGTTCCTTGCATCTTTCCTTTTAAATGAAAGATCATAAAGAGATAAATATTCAGTTTAAGAATGATATTTTTTTCTTCAGTATTATCATCATGAATCATGAAGATGATGAAAACATTTTACATAAAAGAATTTCAAGAGAGACAACTTTATCAATAAATGATATTTAATGAAAAATAAACAATCATACAAGTTAAGAAATGTTGAGTCTTTTATTCAAGAGGATAAGACAAAAGGACGAATTATAAATCATCAAAGGGAATAAACAATTAAGTCTCATTTTACTACTACAAAATATTAATCATGTAATAATCTGTTTTTATAATCCCACTTCTCGTTTAGTGGGTTGAACTTGCTGCCTCTAAATTCCGCATCTTCCTCTACAGATTGAAGTCTCATACGTGTTTTCTTTCTTTTGTACCTTTATTAGTTTGCTTAAATACGTCCATTTGTCCTTTTTACAAATATTTTTATATTTTTCCTTCGGAGTCTCTTTAGAATTTTCCTTCTTATTGCTAGGTATTTTCTCCAGTTCCTCCTTGGCTTTCGTAGGCTTTGGTTAGTACTAATTCTTTTTGGCCTACTGTTGTTGATATTTGGAAAATTTTGACTAAGAGTATCCTTTTCTACATTTGAAATTGGCGGGTCATAGATTTTTCCAGTAGTATTCTTTGATAATTCTTCTAATCCCTCGTCTCTTGATGTAGTTAATAGTACATTTTTTGAGTGATTGGCTATTTCCACATTGTTTTGTATTGCATCACTTTCCTTTTGTTTCCAGTTCTTTGTTCTACCGAGTGGACGCGTAAATACTGAAGATGGACAGAAAAACGTGTATAGCACCTGTTACCAATCAATACAATTAGTCAGACTAATTCCAATATGCTTAGATATGTGTTTTATTTTAAAAATAGTGTTTACGTGTTTCGGCTAATCTGTTTCTTCTCCCAGTGTTAAGTTTGGATTTTAAAACATTTCCCTGCTCTCTTCTTCCAATAGGATGCGAGAACTTCAGAGATTCTAAAAAGACAGAAAATTATTTTCAACAGTGTTTTCAGAGCACAATTTTCTGAAATCGTATTCAAACCAACATGTTCATATTTACTCATTCTTTCAGCCTCCTCTTTTTCATTTCCATCAACTGTGTCGGATACCGTGGCATCTAAAATTAGTTGGCGACTGTTGTAAAGCTTCATATAAACTTAGAACTTTGATAAAAATATTAATTCAGGTTTATCTATCTTAAATTGTAGTAAATACCTTTGCAGTTGATAAAGATGATGCATTGAGAGTACAGAAGTATTATCCATGCTCTCATTATAGCTAAAAAAAAAATAATAAAAGGACATTTATATACCCATTCACTATTTCTTAGATTAAGAGAACATTAATTAATTATACCACTATATTTGTATATTTTTATTTTTATTTTATTTTTTATTCTATAAAATACATTTATCAGATATCTACTACTTGATTTAGAGCTTTTTTTCTTGTATATTTCAAGATCTATTCGTTTAATTTATGCGTATCAAGCAGCATACATGTTTATTATAAATGCATGAATGTTATGTAATCTTACTATGTTTAGAAGTTTTTTTTTAATCTAAAAGCTCGAGATATGTCTTATAATACATATAAACTCATTCACTTACCTTTCTTTGATGTGATCTCCTATATAGGTACGAAAAGATTGATTTTGTAAAAAATATAACAACTTTATATGACAGCCGAGGGTATTATGACCTGGTCACATTTTGCGCATGGATCTATGTCAATTTTGTCATATGTAAATTAATGCGTAACTGGTTTCATACAAACACGCATAACTAATCATAACTATAACGAAATTATCAATAAAAACAGAAGGAGGTGTAAGAATTAGATGATTTATTTCCTTGTTTGTAAACTTCCACCTACATGCATTATTTCATTAATCATTTGTTGACAATTCTAGTGCTGAATCTACGGAACATCTCAATTCATTTAAGAATCTGTCTGAATGATGATAGATAGGGGTAATATTATTCTGCACATGTGTTCCAGTTTTCGAATTTTTAGATTTCCTATTTCATCCATGTATATTAACCCTAATTTGCCTTTAGAGAACTAAATAAAATGTTTCATATGAAGAAGAGAGGAAGAAGAAGCAGAACATCTTTTAAAAATACATAAGAGTTTGGATGTACTTGACCTAGAAATTATAGTAATTTGAATAATTATGAATCTTCCATCAATCAGTAATGAATTCAATTATGTTAGATCTATTTGTCGATATTTCTTCACATGAATTTTGCTACTTAGTCACATATGGCTTCCTTCCGCTCCAGGGATATAAAGCAGACATAAGACTTATAAAATCTGAAGCTGATATTGATCTTTTCTTCCTGACATTCTTTTACCTGCTTTAAGTGAGTTTATGTTACCTTTAGCTGATTTTTAGAAGAAACTTAGAACACTATAACATTAAATATGCAAGTGTCATATCTATCTATATCTACTATTCGTGGATTGGAAATTAACAATCTTGTGTGACCATGGGATCTTATTTTCAATTTTCTTATTTTCAAGTATACTGTAAGAAACTATAAAATTAATAAACGTCCAAGAAAACAAACTTTAAATTGGGATTTTTCTTACGATTAAAAAAACGAGCGATTTATTTTACACAAATGATAATAATAATACTTTTAAAATATAAAAATACCATAAAACAAGTATATAAATGTAAAATTAAACGCATCAATATTTCTTGAATATGACTTATATGTGAATATTTCAGATAACGTTCAAGAGAAATTTTACACATGTTCAAATAATCAGAGAGTCAGGTACTTCTGTTTCATATTTGGATGTTCTACTGGCTACAGAAGATCATTGCAGGTAAAAAAAAAAAAAAAAAAAAAAAAAACTTTTATGTCAAAAGGGATAACTTCAACTTTTCCATTGTCAGCTTACCCTATTTACGTGGTAATTTTACACTGTCACCTTCATATGGTATTTATGCCTCTCAACTGATTTGGAACGCGAGAGCATATATGTTTAAATCGAGCCGTTTTACTGACAAATAAGTTGATGTTAAAGGGCTTTCTACAATCTTGTTTAAACTTAGCTTTTCGCGTCTTATGGTCTTTATAATGACCTTGTTTGCATATTCAACCTATCCAAGGGTCGAATTTTGAATTCCTTTTGAATGTTAGGCCATTGTTTTTATACTAATTTTGACTACAGATTACTCCATTTACATCATCAATTACAGAAGGCTCACGGCGGGTGTTACAGGTCGACAGGGGATGTTTACTCCTCCTGGGCACCTGATCCCACCTCTGATGTTTCCAAAGGCGCCCATGTTTTTGCCTTGTTTACGTTTCACATTGTTTACAGAATTTATGAGATTTGGCCACAGTTCGTTGTCTTCACCTTTTTCATTCAATATATGTTTCAAACATATGATATAATGAAAAATTGGTTTATATAATGAACATACCTTAAACTTACCTTAATCTTTTTATATGTGTCGAACTGTCAATGCTCGTATACCTTGCAATCCTTCCTGCGCATGTGTACATTTAATTATAATTTTCGATCGGCAAAACTACTTAATTGTTGAAATTTAGAAAGTACTACTTTTCTTACATACATGTAAATATACCTAGCAGAATAAAAAAAGACATTTATCACAAAATGTGTCGGCTTTTTCTTAGGACTATTACAGTAATTGTTTTGGACTAGAGTTGATTGATGACGATGAATAATTCAAAATAATTGGCTAATGATAGTTCAGTTCAGTTCAGTTTATTCTCTCAAAACCTGTAAATAGTACATGGGGTATAAAGATCGAATTGTTGCACTAATAAATCAACTGTTCGACTTAATTAGTTGAACATGCCATCCCAGGGTTCATATGTTTACACAACATTCTTGCAGCCATGGCGTATTCTGCCAACAATTCAATAATAATCACAATTATTTTGCCTTCATTCACTTTTTATACACTAAGTATTCAGCTCCTCTTAATGCATTCGTAAACACCTACACGTTGTCCTTGCCATTGATCCGCTATTTTAATACAATAGTAATATAATAGTAATATTTGTCCGAAGAAAAATCATTTCATTTGAACACATAACTTTTATGTACATGTATTGTTGTGAACGTGAACATTTTGGAAACTTTAAAAATGTACATTAATATGATCGTTAAATTTTTTATGGTAGTTCAAGAAGTCACCTGCAACATTTTATGAAGTTCAACCTGTAGCACTGACACGAAAAGGAAAAAATCATATCAAAAAGCACACAGAACGAAGCAAAACACATGTAATATCGGATTTCGCCTTGAGTGTGTCTTTGGTTGTACTGGCCAAGACAGTTACACGTATAGTCATTCAATGATTGTTAAAGGAATTCCGGAGGCGTCCATTTATATTTCCACTAATACCTAGTATTTTCCGTATCGTCTATGTGCCCTCTGTTTTCTCCTTTGATTCCGTCTGTGTTTCCTCAGAGCCTTATTTTTTAATTTCCTTTGCCTCCTTTTGTGTTTTTTTATTGTCTTCCGTATTTTCTTTTGCACCTTCCTTTTATTCTTCCTCAGTCTTCTCTCGTGTCTGTTCGGTCTTTTCCCGTATTTTCGAGGATTAAGATGAGGATCAATATGAGGCTTTAACGGTACACGTGGTTCTGGGTAATCTATAGGGTGACCACTGTGTATATCTGGACGGACTGGTTCAGGAAAGTGACCATGAGGTCCCCCGTGATTTGGCACACCTCTGTTGACAAGATCACGTAGTCTATTTAGTCCTTGATGAGGCTGATCTAGGGGTCTGATTGCATTTCCCCCATCCCATGGTCCCTGTCGCCCTGGGACAGCTCTGGCATCCCAGGGAGCACCACCTACACCTGGCCCCTGATCCAGTGGTTGAACGTTCCAGGGGTCAACACCATGACCTCCATGTGTATCGTGTCCGTGGCCATGACCGTGGTCCCCATCTTTAAAAACAAACATTAAGAATCATTTATTCTAAGACATGAATTTTATTTACACTTTGGTTTACTGTCAATCGTAAAAAGAATTTTGTTGTTTTAAAAAAAAAAAAAACAAGTGAACAAGTGAAACTTAGATACTTTAATATTTTTTTAACAATAATATTTTTTTTATATTGATGTAATATTTTTCAAAATTTTGCAGATGTATTTTATAGTGATTATTAAGACTTGTTATAGTACACTTACGTAATTGGCCTTGTGTTCCCAGCAGATAACATGCTGTCAAAACTAACCAGGTAATCATCCTGTGATAAAACATAAATTATGGCACTGTTAAAGTGTTTCATCATTTCAATTATTAAAAACATATTTACAATTTTTAAGAAGGTTTAACAAATAACTATTCATTCTAATGAATTACCATACCCTGTGAGGCGTACTAGTAGGAGATGTTCCACGACTTATCTGATAGTACATGTGAACCATTATATATACTCCCTCGTAAAAGGAAACATTTGTAAAAGTGTCATGTATTGACATATGCTAATAAGACAATAAGACATCTTTTAAATTTGCTATTTATGGACAAAGGTAGAGGGAAATCCAAAAATTATATCCCAGTGTGACATTTTATACCATGTTTATCAAAATTTATTTTTAAACTTTCAAAGTGTTCGTAAAAAGCACTGCGTATAAACGTCATTTTGGGCATTGTCTATGGTTTACATCTGTCAAATTCATGTAATTTATCAAAGATCTTAAATGTACAAAAATGAAAACATGTAAATATAACTTGCAGAGTTTTTGGACGACTGTGTACTTGTAAAATTATTTATTTAAAATCAGTTGATGGCATACTCAATATACGTCAGAGAGTTTTGATTGGAGAATCTTCTTTTATCACTGAGCGCGATATTGATGAATGTAATTGGACATTTACATAATATGCCAATGACAAAGGGATTCAGCATAAACAGGGGGATCCCCTAAAACATTTCTAGATATATTCTTATTCCTGAACTCGGAACTTGTGAAAAAATAGTGAGCGTACAATTTTAACCTTTTTAGAATGTCGAAGTGTTACTTTAAAATTTTACACTTCATCAACTTAAACTTATTAATAACAGTCTCGAAAATAATTATTGTTAAAGTTAAAATCTTATTTTAAATTCCTTCATCAAAAACCGGATTAAAGCAGATTTTTTTCACTCCAAATCATGACAGATTTCCTAGATTTTTGTACTTCCTGTTTGATAAGAGGGATTATAAAAAACACGTTTAGTTTGAATAATACTACAAAATACCTCTTCAACCAATTCCCTCATTGATTAAAAAAAAACGCTTTAAAAAATCAAAATGCATATTAAAAATTTTATTAATGGACCACAGTTAATTAGAAAGCAAGATGTGTTTGTTAAACACTGATGCTCCCATATGACAGCTATTGACCAAAGCTAAAGTTTCTCAAATTTATGCATTTCAAACTCCAAAATAAAGGCTAAGAGGTCAAACATATAGGTACTCAAAAAAGATCTTGTCACAAAGAATACACTTGTGAAATGTGAAAGCCCTTGCACCAATCATTCAGAAATGATGGTTTAAGGTTAAAGTTTTTCAAAAGTATGTCATATTCAAAGCTCAACCTCATGAGATAAAAAATGTTGGTACCAGAAAAGGTCTTTTCACAAAGAATACACCTTTGAAATATGAAAGCCATAGCACGAACCATTCGAAAGTTATGGTCAAGGTTAAAGTTTTTTCAAAATCAGGTTAAACTCCAAGGTCAATGTCAAAAGGTTGGTCTCCAAGGGAAGGTCTTGTCACACGGAATATACGTGTGAAATAAGAAAGCCCTAACACCACCTTTTTAAAGTTATGACCAAGGTTAAAGTTTGTCAAACTCCAAGATCAAGGTCAACAGGTCAAAAATGTTTGTACCCAACGGAAAGTCTTGTCATGTGAAGAATGAAAGTCCTAGCCCAATTTGTTTAAAAGTTATGGTCAAGGTTAAAGTTTGGTTTAATTTTGTAAAAGTGCGCCAAACTCCAAGGTCAAGTCAAAAGTAAAATACGTTGATATCCAAATAAAGGTCTTGTCACAAGGAATACACGAGTGAAATACTTTTAATAACAGATTTCTGAAGGATGAAGGAATCTCTCGAGAGCATAAATTTCTCCTGTGAACATCTCTCTGTCAGTCAGCATCTACATGTATCTCATTAGGACTTTTCTATTCTGCCTTCTGTGATGAAGGTTAAATTTATTTCGAAGAGATTTGATAGGGTCAGGTTTTCAACTGCATCTTATATAATTATATATATTACGTACATTTCATATGTGTATATTGTGGCTTATGGCAGCATACAAGATTTTTTTTAATTTTTGATCCGAAATACTACTTAATGGTTGACACGAATTTCTTTTTTAGATTTTAAATCGATTTATGCTTCAATGCAAGTTTTATTTCTTCGTGTCATTCATCACATTTATAAAATACATAGAAATTACTAAACACATACATGTACAGTATTGCAGAGTATGACTTAATGAGAGTGTGCAGAATAAATATATACCAAGTGCACATAACGTAATGTATTAAGATAAGAGACTATTATTGTGATATATTTAATAAACTCTTAAAAAAAACAAATACCGGTAGTTAGATAAGCAAATAAATTTGTCTTTAGTTATAATAAATGATCTTAATTAAGTCGAAATGTTAAAACTTTAATTTGCTTTTGTTTTAATTACACAAATTAATCACAGAAATGCTCAACAATCATTTGTTTACACAGTCACTGAATAAAATGTTTCTCTAACATTAATTAGAACAATGAAAATGTCAAGGAGAAGAAACCACAAACATTTGTTATATATGATTTACTTGGCTTTACGTCATACTGATGCTTATTTCCCGAAAACTGTGTCAAATAAAAATTACAAAACTTTCCAATGTTTTATTTAACACAGTGAGATGTGTCATTTCAGTCTTCAATTAAAAAAAAAAAAACAATATGCATATTATTTTTATCATTTGTTTTAAAGAATGTTTATACCATAGGCACCTAAAGTGTGGACCCCACCCCCACACACATACACACTTTAATTTAAAAAAAAAAAGTAAGAGCCTATAATTCTCAAAAGTATGAGATTTTCCCCTGTATCACATCCATATTTCGTTCCATGCACGCAGATTGTACTTTTTCCCACGTCTAGAGATTGGACATGTACGGTATAATATAATAATACTTAATAATATATGCGATACTTTAGTTCTATTTTCTACAATTGTTGTATATAAAATAAGGGTTAGATTAAAGGACATTAAATTTTCTAAAACATGTATTTATGTTTGTACTTTAGTGGGGTACAAACTCAACTTTTTACAAGACCGTTTCTAAGACATCATAAAACTTTGAATCATGTTGAGATGCATGAAATGAAAATTTTTGCACGAAAAGGCTTCATTTTGAGACTTTTTAAATTAAAAAAATAATTTTAAGAGTTATCGTTCCTGACTGATGAGTCTTTCCTTGGGACCGCGTACAAAAAGTTGTGCATTAATGTACTAGTGGGTATACAGAAATGTGACTGACTTAAGAAGCACTCAAAAAGCCATGTATTTGGTTTGCTTTTATCGGAGGTGACCCCCCCCCCCAATTTCTACTGGTTAATTCAACATAGAGAAGATACTGTTAAATCTTGTTTCTTTGATAGCTCAACGGAAATGCTTGGCATACAAGTTTAGTTTTTCTTTTTAGCCTTACGTAAGATGATTCTGAAAGTTGCAAACTGGAAATCCCGATACAATGCGTGATGACAAGGAAAACACTACTTGCAGGTATGGATAGATTTTCACCCAACATAAAAGAGTGTTTTATTAAAACAATACAATAAGTAGATAAAATAAAAACATAAAAATATGTATTGATAGTATGGAACAAGGATTTCACCTAATGTATAGTGAAAGTCATTTCTTTGAGGAGTTTCTTGATCGTTAATATTAATTGTGTTTTGTTTTATCTAGTCTTCTCTGTACGGATTACGTGAATTCTTTAACATTCTTTGTCTCTTTATTTGTTTCTTTAATGCTCTTCCTTTGTTCTTTCTTTGTTTCTTCAGAGCCTTTCTTATTTTCCTTTGCATTTTCCTCTTACGTTTTCTCAAGCGTTTTCCGAGTCTACCGGGTCTTTTACCAGACATAGTAGAATAAGGTTTCTGAAAGGGGTCAATATGAGGCGTCAAAAGTGCATGTTGTTCCGGGTAATTAAAGGGTTGACCTCCATGTGTATCTGGTCGGAGACGATCAACTCGATCCAGAAGATGATCATAATTTGGCGGAGTCCCACGATTTGAAGCTTCTTTGTGAAAAATTTCACGTAAATATTTCAGTCTTTCGAGAGTTCGGTAAGGTAGGGACCTGATAGTCTCCAATAGCTTTGCATTCACACCGTTACCTCGTCGTCCTGGTTCGGACCTCATATTCCAGAGGGCGCCACCTACATCGGTTCCTTCAACCAATGTTCTAACGTTCAGTGGGTGAACACCATGGTCCAAATGTGTCCGTCCGTGTCCCAGTGGCCCTTTCTCATCTGGCAAAACAAAATAATTTGTTTGACAAAGTGGAAAAACGGATAGATTATCATGTAATGATAATCTTGGTTTTACGTTTATACCTAAAATTGAGGATTTATTTTCATTACATTTCTTGTAATGAAATTCACAGAAAAAAATCCAGATATACTTACTTGTGCTTATTTCGCCGTAAGCTCCAGCCAAATAACAAGATGCTAAAACTATGAAGAAACTCATCCTAAAAGCATATTTTTAAATTGTCGATGATTTTAATCAGTAATATATTGCAAGCTCATACATGTATTATCAATTGTTATTTTAAGTCCAATATAAAAAGGTTCAAAACAGAACTAATTTGCTTTAAAAAAAAACAAACTCTTACCCTTTATTATAGTCTGGTATATTCTGGTAACTGTATGAGATGTAGAACTGACAATATATTTATATATTTTTGTATAAGGAAACAGAATGTTAGCGTGACGTATGTAGGTCTCCATTTTACATGGACAGTGGTAAAGGGGAGTTCAGAGATAAACACCCAATTCCATTTGCAAATTCCAACATAGTACAGTGAAATTTTTATCCTTTTTTACTTTCTTTTCTTCTTTTTTTTGGTGGACAAGCATCATTTTATCATAAATGGCAGGGATTAATTTATGGGATGAATCTAGAACAGACTATACTATAAATACAACTGGAAATTGTCCTGTAGAGATTTTGGACAGTCCTGTATAGGTCAGGATTGTTGACCAATTAATCTTATGTGCGTCAATATGTACACAAGAAGAAATTTGATTGGTTTTTTATTTTTATTTATTACTTTAGCGCGTTGGAAGGAAAGAAAAATATAATACATGTACTTACATGTAAACATAGCGACATCGG